CCGGCGCTGCCAACCCTGCGGCTGCTGCGGGGACTGCGGCCGCGGGCGACGCCAAGAACGGTAAGTCGGGGCCGGCGGGGTGAGTGCCAACTTCCTCCCCACGGGGACGAAGCGGTGGCGGGGCCCCGGGAGGCGCGGGCGGTGCGTGGACAATGCGAGAGTCAGGAAGTGCTCACCCCGCCCCTCCGCCCCGCCGCGGCTGCCCCTTCCCGGTCCCCACGCTGGGTGCTGAGGGTGGCTTCGCAGCCCGTGTCCGCGTCGGACCGGCCGCGCGCCCTGGCCAGCCTGCGCCCATGCGACCCTCAGCCCGGCCGTGGTGCCTGCGCTGGCAGAGGCCGGTGTGTGCTCCTGGCCGAAGGAAGGAAGGAAACAAATGCCCAACTTGAGAAGGATGATCCGATTGAAAACTTAGTACCGGTTTTCATTCTACCCTGTGTTCCCCTACCCACCCGCCTCTGCCCCGAGTGAAGAAGAGTCTAATTCCCGGTGGATCCGGGCTTGCTCTGCCTACTGCCACAGGTGAAGAGGCCTGAGACGTTTCTACTGTCGGATGTGAGTGTGTGTGTGGTGCTCTTCAGTTCTTTTGCTCGCTTGAGGAAGGAAGAGAATCTCAACTTAACTTCCGTTCCCAACCAGGAGTTAAAAACATTAATCTTCTAAATAATTTTCTTTCACCGTTTAAAAGGAAGCCTAGTAATCTTAGATAGAGCTTGAAAGCTTCTCTTGATGGGCATTTAAGGGACAGCTAAGACGTGACCGGACTGCCATTCTTCCTACAAGTTTTAGTTCCAGTGTGCTGGCCAAGCACTTTTTGTTTACTTGGACAGATCTTCGAATTCCTTTGGTCAGGTAGCTTTTCAGGGAAGGGAAAGTAAGATTTCCCTTATGTCTGGCTTTGAACTTGTAGCTTTCAGTTTAGGAAACTTCTTTATGTAAATAAGCCACGTTTTAAGCAGGGCACCCGCACTTACTAGAACCCCACAGTGCTGTGAATATAGGCGACTGACCAAGTGGAACCTGCTAGAAACCAGTGTAGACCCCATTGGCTGGGTCTTGAAATGGCACTAGAAGCTTCCCAAACTTGCTTGTTTGTGAATTGCCTGAATATACAACTGTGTTCTTATTTTTTAGTTTTTTTTCTAGCTCTAAGCTTCATTTTAGTATGATGTGTCCGAGGGGAAGCTGCCGAGACTCTAGGTAAGACGAACTCTTGACCCAGCCATATAAGCTTTGCCATCTTGGAAGGTCAGTCTTTTCTGTAAAATGGAAAAAAGAAAAATATTAGTGAAACCTGCAGAAACAGGAGCCTATGTAAGGTGTACAGCTGCCAGAGAAAGAAAACTCAAGATAGTTTCCACTGAAAGAGTGACAGAAAAGAGGAAGATTGTTCCCTGTCAAAAGTAGAAAACTCATGAGGCCTGATTAAACAATCCACTCCCTGGGAGGAGTCACTGTAATAACGGCCCCCTCCTCGGAAACCCTATGCAGGGTCAGTCGCTATGAGTCGGACCTGACTCAGTGGCACTTTGTTACAACAAATGTTACAACAGTAACATAGGGTTATTGTCATAGGGTACCCTTTCCCACACTTCCAGTTCTTGTTACATATATAACGAAGTTAGTAAAGTTCCTCCCAGTAGTAAGTGATCAATAAATATAGCTATCATTCATGTCTTCATTCAGGAAATAGTAACCCCCTGTAGTATCTTAGGTATTGGACTGAGTGCTAAGAAGAAGGGAGTTTGCGTCCACATTCTGGTAGAGATGACTTACCCAATTATTTTCTGCCTGACAGTGTGGGAGCTTACCTTTTTTTCTTACTCCAAAGGTTTAGACCACTTTAAAGTGGTGTGAGGGATTTTTTTCGTACACTGGTTATTGCTGTTTTTACTGCTATTAAGTGCCATGGAGTTAGTTCCAACTCATAGCTACCCTGTGTAGGGTTTCCAAGGAGAGGCTGGTGGGTTTGAACTGCCACCTTGCGGGCTTATCCTACAGTGTCACACCAGGACTGCAGTGGCATGCCCTATTTTGTAAACATTAAACTGGTGATGGTGTTGCTGGGTGCTGTGAAGTTTGTTCTAACTCCTAGTGACCCCATAGGACACAGTAGAACTGCCTCAGGGTTTGAAAATCTGTAATATTTATGGGAACAGATTGCCTGGGATTCCTCTCAAGGAGCTGCTGCTGTCTGGAAACTCGTCATGGAGTTTCATAAGGACGCCTCATAATGCCTCCTCTAAATAACAAACTCAGGGATAATTTAGCAGTATTATATGTATCTAGTCTGGTGTGGTGCTGTGGGTTAATGCACCAGACTGCAAAGCGGTTTGTACTGCAAGGTTAGTGGTTCAAGCTCACCAGCTGCTCCTTGGAAATCCTATACAGGGTTGCTATGGGTCGGAATCGACTCGACGGCTCTTAACAACAACAGTCCTGGTGTGGATTAATGTACTGGACTGCGAAGTCGATTTGATTTGAACCACAGGGTAAGTGGTTCAAACTCACCAGTTGCTCCATGGAAATCCTATATAGGGTCGCTGTGAGTTGCAACCAATGATGGCACTCAACAACAATATGAAGCTCTGCATTTCTACTTTGGAGCTTGTTTTATTAAATGAATGTTGCGAGGGGAGACAAAGAAATGGACCAGACGCCATTTTCAGTGGCAAAGAAGAAACCAATTTATGTTAGAGAAGTTGTTGCTGTGACATGCCACTGAGTTGATTTCAACCCATAACAACCCTGTATAGGGTTCCTGAGGAACAGCTGGTGGATTTGAACCGCTGAACTTTTGCCTCATAGTCCATTGCTGATCCTATAGTGCCACACCCAAAGTCTTGTTAGAGTAGTAACATGAATGAATCTGTGCTGCCTGATTCTGACATATGGAGTGAAGGCTTAGGGAATGATCTGCCTTGATCAGAAGAACTCCTCATTGTTTTTTTGTAGTTGATAACTGAACCTGGGTTTTTGAGGCCTTCCGTTTGCAGAATTGATGAATAAGGAAGTTACAAATGCTTTTGTGTGTGTGTGTGCTATTTGAACCATATTTTATAATGCAAAGGTGTGAGAAGTGGCGCTGGTAAATTTTTGAAGGAAGCAGCAGCAGATAATGTGTAAGTTCTTAGAATCAATGGCTAACACCCAATTATTTTTCAACTTTAAAATGACATTAATTAGACTGTTTTAGCATTTTAAAATTAACTGTGACCTTAAATTTTTTTCAATAATTGTATGTAATAGAGATGTGAAAGCTATGACCATTTGAGTGTTGATTATGAGTATTAAGAATTAAGGCAATTAGTGTAAGAAAGTATTAAGTCTACATTCATGGTAAACTTTCACAGGGTTTGTTCTCATTGTTCAAGTCAGTTTTATGTGCATATGCAAGCACACAACTTAATGTTTTCACTTAAAAGTTTCTAAAATGCTTTTAAGTCTTGTAGCTCTTGGGCAGTGTGGCTGCCAGGGCAGAGTAATATTAGCGTTTAGTTGTTCAATGTTTGTCAGAAGGTATAAATATTCTTTTTCCATAAAAGATTCTATAAAAGATGATTGGTGGCTAGGGAAAGCTTGGGGAAGCTAGAGTGTAGTTGTAGTTGAAGAAGTTGAACTGGTTGCCAGTGTATATCTTTTTGGTAAGTTAAATTTGAATTATAAGGATGGTTTACCCCTAATAAGAAGTTTGTTAGCATATTTTAAATACTTGTTTATGTGGCTTCTTGCAGGAATTACTGCATTCATAAAAGAGGAGGAAGCACCATCTTCCTTCTACTATGTAGTAAACATCTGCCTGCACATATTGTAACATTTTGTTTGTAGGTGGACAAGATTTGCCAACCACTATTTTTAGGATCTAATAATCATGCAGTGGATTATAACAATGTAGTTTCATTATACAATTCTGGTTCCATTAAGCTTCTGTTTTTTTGCTTCAAACATAAAAAATATGTGAGTCCTGGATTGTGGTATGTATGTTTCATTAGGTAGGTCTGGTTCCCAAGCACTTAGGTAAATCCCTGTTTTATGGATGACCTCTCGTCTCCTCTCCACTTATTCTTGAGTTCACAGGAACTTGGGCTGCTGTTAGCCTTAATTCATTCAACAGTTCTTTGTAGCAGTTGGAGTTCTTTATTTAATGGAGTCTATAGACAAGATTCTAATCTTGCCTCTCTAATTCCTTGCCATATAACCTTTGGTTAGTCATTTTACTTCTTAGAGTCTCAGTTTCTGCATGTGTAAAATGGACATATATTATCTATGTTTTTATCTGCCTACCTATCTACCTCTTCATCTTTTTTATCTATCTAGTAAGGTGTGCAGGAGGCTTACTGGTTTGGGAATCATAACTCTGCCTAATGCTGCTTCCTACATTCCCAATCATTCCTAGTTTGGAAATGAAGGAAGCAGCATTGGGCAGAGGCAGCAAGCAATTGCAAGCAGAGGCAGATGCAGTTACCACCGAGACCACCACCGAGACTGAATCAGAGACCTCACTCAATTCTCCTAGTGAGAGGTGGGGGTACTTTTGGAGCTGGGAACCAGGCCTTTATCTCCCCTTACCTTCTCACTCCCCATTGACTGGTCATTTAAACAAGGACTGCTCCCAGGAAAAGGGTGTAATCAGCAATGGATGGGGAAGCGGGTGTAGGAGGTAGTCTCTTTTCACGCATGTTTCTGGGGCCCTCGATATTCCTGAAATCTGCGTGGAGAGTGAGCACTTGAGTAGTGAGGGAAGGATCAGGGCGGCACAGCATCTACGTCCACAGTTGTTGTCGTAGAGTCCTTTGTGTATCTATACTTGGTTCTGCGTCTTAGTTCCTTACTCTTATTGATTTCACTTAGACCACCAGTACCATTAGCATAAAGCACAAGTGTGGGATAAGTATTTCTCATGAATGACTGAATGAAGTCAAACACAGGAAGGATTGTGAGGATGGTGCAGTGTTTCCTCTGTCCATAGGGGGCGCTGTGGGATGGAGCTAACTCACCACCAAAGACTGAATAAATAGATTTGTGGGTAAAACTGGGAGTTGACCATCACTGTAACACTGCTTAACTCGGGAAATTTGTTCTTAATTCCACACATCTATTTACAAATAGAAGTTTGGAGCAGCACCTGTTCCTTATGAACAAGATTTGTATTGTGTTGTGTCAACTAAGCACACTGTTTTATAACCTCAGGTTCATAGTATATTTTGAAATTAGCTGTTTCTTTTAATTTCTACTACATTTAAATTGACTGTTTCCATCAGAAGGAAAATGAAGCGTTTCTGCCTGTTTATATTCTAATCATGGAATATTTATTGAGGGTCTAACTACTAACCGCAAGGTTGTTGGTTCAAACCCACCAGCTACTCCTTGGAAAACCTATATAGAATCGCTCTGAGTTGGAACCAACTTGACAGCACTTAACAACAATAAAGTGAGTGGAGCATCAGTGTGATCTTGGAAGACACTTTTCTTGAAGTCAGTTTTGTTAAGTGTTTACAAATCTGTTATTTTTGAATGTTGTCTTTTGAAACCTACCATTGTAAGGGGGACTATTAGTACCAAAGATCACCTCACCTATCAGATTCTTGCTTTGCGCTTATTGTGTTAGAATGAAGACCTGTTCTGTGTGCGGCCAGTGGTGTTTTATGTGTATTTCTTTCCCTGTTAAAGTCTGTGCTTGGCTTCTAGAAAGTAAACCTTGAGTACCAGCCTTTCTGACAAGTCCAGAAAGATGTGTCCTTCCACAGAGAATTGAAAATGGGAGACAAAACTGGGAAATCTCTCGCAGCTTACTTAGTTCCCCTCCCTGTTAACTACAGTCTCCTGGCTTTGATGGTTTAATGATGTAATACTTGAGAGGGAAACCAAATTGGTCAACTGTGGTTTTCATTATGAACTTTTTGGATATTTACTTAATTTACAATGTTTTGTTAAATCATTATTTTTCCACTAATGAAATGGTTGTTGAGGAAAATCTTAAAAAGAAAAATAGAGTTCTATTTTTTTACTCAAACACATATGATCCCACCACTTGGAGATCACTGTTGTTGACATTTTGATATGTATTCTTGCAGCTTTCAAACATTTTGCTTACAGACTTTAAAAAGTACTTTTAAAAGACAGTTTTTGCAAAACGTGAATCATGTACTTTATATATATTTTTTCCATTAATAATTCTTTGTGGCTATTTTAGCAGAGCAGTACATTTCCAGGCACATCATCATTTTTAATTTGATGACTGCACCTTGGATAATTTGATCATTCCTCTGTTGTTTGACCTTAACAGTTCTAATACCCACATCCCTGGGCAGTCATTCAGCTAGTTCATTAGAATAAATTTACCTTGGACTTCTTAGGTCAAAGGCTATGTATTGATTTTTTATTTTTAATACATACAACCAGATGTCCCGAAAGAAAGATTGTACCCATGTGAGAGTGCGTGTGTCAAGGCTTGTTGGGGAGCTGGTGTCTCACAGGCATTCATTCACCAGCTCTTTATAGCAGATGGAGTTCATTTACATAATGAGTGCCATTGGAATCTGTAGACCTGGATTCAAATCCTGGCTCTCTAATGACTTGCCATATGACCCTTGGTTAGTCATTTTGCTTCTTGGAGCCACAGTTTCTGCATGTGTATAAAGGGGCTATATTACCTATTTGTCTGCTTACCTACCTACCTGCCATTTATCTTACCTAGTACTAGTGCTTCCTTGGGAGAAAGATGAGGCTTTCTGCTCCCGTGAAGATTTACAGCCTGGGAAACCCTATACAGGGTGGCTGTGAGTCAGAACCAACTCCACGGCACATAACCACCAACAACCAAGGTGTGCAGGAGGCTTACTAGGGACTGTTCCTGGCCTCACTGCTAGGGCAAGAGTGAAGGAAGCAGGATTGGACAGAGGGAGCAGTTGAACTGTGAGGCAGTTACTACAGTGGCCTTAGCCGATCCTCCCAGTGAGATGTCGGGGGGACCTCTGGACCTGGGATGGCTGGGGAATTGGTGGGCCCTACGATGTCTCAGCAGCATGAGAGTTCCGTTAGCATGGAGAACCTGGATCAGGTGCTGCCACACTTGGCAGACTTTCTCCTTACTTGCTGGCTTTGTGGCTAATAAGATTCAGTAAAATATCTAATAATGGTGAATGGTAAAGTTAGCAAAGATGACAACATAGGCCTTTGAAATACTGTCTGCAGCTGGACAGTGTTTGACACCACTATTCTAATCTTAGGTACTAAGACCTAGACTTTTCAGATTTTAGTCAAAAATGTGCGGTTTGAACGTCAGTGAGTTTTAATCCAGGTGCGACATTTGGTAACATAGAGCCTTTGGAGCCAGTTTATCTTTCTCAGTCTCTGTTCTCTAAATGCATCCTCTGCAGTCATTTATGAAGATGAAGAAAAAGAGCATGTGAAGATCTTGGCCAGGGCACATGTGGACGCCTAGTGACAGCTCTGTGAGTTTGTGGTTTGTTCAGCTTGACTCAATCACAAATCCGGCTGAGCCACTGTGCTCCTGAGAACAGACTCTGTGAGATGGTAAGATAGTGGAGAAGGGTCTGTGATATTCACATAGAAAGTCTGGTATCGTGCATGCTTTTAGCTAAGCACTGATTTGTCTATAAGTAATCTTCTATTCTCCCATCATCTCTCTCTCTGATCATAGCTCACCTGGAAATAAAGCAGGTGATTAAAAAAAAAAAGAAGTATGAAACTAGGCCTCCCTCCTCCTCTCCCATTCTTTCCTTTCTGTCCTCATTCATCCATCCATCACCTATGTATTGAGTGCCTGCTATTTGTCAGACATTGTGCTGGATGCTAGGATCATAAACACAAAAGCACTAGGTTTTAGGGCTAGTGGCCAAATCAGGAACTTTTTATGGAAATAGGTGCAAGTAGGTTACTGCACGGATTATGCAGGTACAGCTGTGAAATGCAAATCAGGAGGTCTTGGAAGGGGCTAAAATGTTGACTTGAATGTGAAGACATAGAAAAGTGAAATGAGCCTGTGTAAGATGGTGAGTGGTGAGAGGATGTTTGGAGCTCCACGTGTCCTGGTGGGGATCAGTCAGGGCTTTCATACTACTGAGAATTCAGCAGAAGACTGTCTCCTTTCTCCAGGCGGTGCCTAGAGGGGTCTTTCATTAGTTTGCTCATTTATCCATTCACTCATTGCTTTGTTCATCTACGTACTAATCCATTCCTAAACATTTATTATATGCAAGTAAACATTTATTGATATCCCATACGAGTAAAGTTTTACTCAAGGTAATACAGAAATGGCTGCAGCCATACATTGGCAGAGAACTTCCAGAGACTCAAACAAACCAGATTCAGAAGAGGCTGTGGAACGAGGGATATCATGAGGGATATCATTGCTGATGTGTGACGGATTTTGGCTGAAAGAAAATAACCAGAAGGATGTTTACTTGTGCTTTATTGACTATGCAAAGGCTTTTTTTTTTTTTTTTTTTAAGGTTTTTATTGTGGATTGAGTGAAAGTTTTATCATCAGTTTTACATTCAACAAATTATATACCTTGTTTCATTGCAATGATTATAATCCCCTCCATGTACCATCAGTTAACAGTATTTCTCTCTATTCACTTTAGCTTTTTAAAAACAAACACACCACTCAGGCATATATAATAATTTACATCTCCAAAGGGCACATTCTGCAAGTCTGCCTCCTGGCCACCAGTTCTTAGTCCTTCTCTTCTTAGTTGATGAATCCTGAGTCCTCAGCCACTCCCCCTCTCCATGCCCCCATCTCTGCCTCCATCTCTGGTGCTGCTGCTTCTCTGGATAAGGTCCCGCATTCTGCTTGTGCGCTTCTCTCTTGATGGTCCTAGGGTCCTCTGTTTTTGGACTGTAAGATTAACCACTCCCCTGTTTTTGTTACAAAACTTATACCTCTATAATTGTGACAGTCATAATTAGTCATGATAACAGTTATTCACTGTTGAATCAGATGAATCTTATCCCCATCTCCTTTCACCAGACCCTTCTAGACAAGACGGCAGCTGTGGGGACTCTTTCGTTCCCCCAATACTCTTAAACTAAACTCCCTCTTGAAACCTTGTAAGCCAGTCACTTCGTGCCTTTACTGACCCCTCGTTTTAGGTAGCCAATGTCTAAGTTGCCCGTCCCTATCTACCCTGTGTACAGAAGGGATAGCATTGATACTTGATGTGAAGACTCCCTCTTTTTTGGTATTTAGAGTAACTACCTCTCGAGTACAGGTCAGGTTCATCACATTGTAGCAATTTACCCTTGTTTCCTTTATAAAAAAAAAATTTTTTTTTTCTTTCTCAATCTTCCGCTAGTTGAGTTCTTTTGGCCATCGAGGCTAGGTCAAAAGGGTACTGTATGTAAGTTTGGGTGTTCTTGTTTGTCTCCTCTCCCTTCATATCAGCTGGATGCTTCACTCTCAGCTCTAGCGCTCTGTGGCTATGTCCTTGTACATGGGCTCAAGTGTCCTCAGGTCTCACCGCACTTGGGACCAACCAGCTCTTCCTC